ATGTCCTATACACTGTAAACGGACAAAAATAAATAATAGATAATTTTTCTGTTTATATTTTAGAGATACTCTTCGCTATTTCTTTAACTTAAATTAGATTCATTTATTTTCGCTTATTTAGATGTAAATGCAAATAAATTTTCATATTAATCAATTAATGCAAATAAATAATAAAGACTAATAAATTTTAATAGCTTATTTTAAATCATTAGATAAATAAATGTTTTTTATACAGTTGATACTATACATAGGTGTCTAAATTATTTTACTCTTGTTGTAAATTTAAATAGCTAAATTATTTTAGACAGCCCTAAATCATAAATAAGGCCGCTTGCAGTTGAATTTTTGGTTAACATCACTTTTAGAACTCTTGGGAGGGGGTAAAATGAAACGAGCATATAAAATGAACAAATATGGGCCAATTTGATTGGTCGATGTAATTCAAGTGATTGGTGAAAGTTATCCAGCGGTTTGATTGGTTGTTCATTTTTCGGTTAACCGAAGAATTAACTTCGAACGTTCTAATTTAGACAGCAAAAATTATTTTATGCCTCTCAAATATTTTAGGGTGTCTTAAATATTAATGTCGAAAATTAAATATTTAAAATGCGATGAGGTTTTACCTTTAGATTGAATACTGCGGCGGAATTGCGGAACACCGAAATAGAAAATGAGTCAACCAGATAATTTGCTAATTATATTGTATTGTGCGAACAATAATCGATGTTAATTTTAACCTCAAACCCCTTACAGTAATGAACAATTGTACTAATTAATGACTTTAAGGCTCGTTATTCATATGCCGCGGCTGCGCACTTCGGGGGGTTGACTCATAGTTACACTGGGGTTCCGTTCATTTCATCGACAATCAGTTCACCGACGGTACGATTCACCGACAATCAATTCACCTACAAGTTCATTTGACCGACAATACGATTCACCGACAGTCATTTCACCGACAAAGTAATTCTAGTCATTGGCGTTAGGGTCAGGTTAAAATTAGAGTTAAGGTTAGTGTAATTTATAAAAAAACTTGTCGGTAAAACGTACTGTCGGTGAATCGAACCCCCCTAGCATGACCACCAAAATCAGTTACATCGCTGTTTAAAATCTGATCTGATCTGATCTCGTAACCCAGCAGGTCAACGGCATTTTTTTTACATTATATATTAATATTATCATTATAAAACTTAATTAAATTTTAAATATTATAATTAAAATTTTTATTGTGTTTAAAAAAGAAAAAGCCAAGTTTATTCGAATGTTTCGAACTTTTATTATTAGCTTTACATAATCTTATAATATGAGATTTGCAAGTTTCGAATTACCAATAAAAAGTATTTTTATTCCGTTTATGCCAGGTTTTTGGAAGATTCTTTGCTTGGTTTAGATTTTTTATATCTTCTACCATTTTCTGAATTGGTTTAAAATTTGATTCAATATTTTTCAACCATTTTTTCTGTTGCGGAAGACTATATGACTTTTCAAGAAGGTCAAGCGTCTATATTGAAGTAATATCGATATTTATACTTCTATTTATTATGTTGTATAATTAATTCGATAAAAATAATAAATAAATTATACCTCATGAAGAGTTTTTTTATATTGATCGATAATTTCTAATCCAGTTTCATTATCTTCACTTAATTCATCATCTTCTGCAATATTGTCATTAAGAATTGTTGAATTAATTATTACATTAGAATGTTGTGCGATATCAGGTGATATGCAAATCTTCTCCCATATAGTTTTTTCAGATTCTTTAATTAATGGATAATGTGAATTTCGTTGAACCTAATTTAAAAACCATTAAGATATATATATTTTCTAAAAATGTAATAAATAATATAAAATAAGCCTATTAACCTTTCTAAAGAATGAAGCCGTCATATTTCCCAGAGGATTGACAAGATGTTTACATAAATAAAATCTATTTTTTAAAAAATAGGGACATGAACATATCCAATGCTCATTATCAGTTAGATATTTGTTTGTATTTTTAATTGAATGCATAGCAAGTTTTTGCCATTCATTTTTAAAATCATCACACCAAGATGGTAAGATTCTTTCATGCAAAAGTAATTGATACCGTTGTAATTGCATAGGTAATAATTTTTCAATTAAAATGTAACAAACAAGATCAATACGTGGCTGGTTAAATTTGTACAAATAGTCTCTTTTCAAAATATGCCAATGAGATTCTATGATCATTGTTGTGCGGATTATAGAAATATCTTGTGAGGCAGATAATGCCCAAAGTGTCCACCTATTCCAATGGTACCATTCATTCCACAAATATGACCACACATGTAATAGATCTTTTTGATAACAGTAGTTAAACATTTCACGAACAGATCGTATCCATATTTCTTGAGATGATGTAACAAATTCTTGACCAGCAGTAGATATTAACATATGGCGGTGAAAATGGGTTTCAATAAGATTTAGCACATCTTTTCTTAATTCCGCCTTAAGAAAAACTTTGTTGCATAAAACTGTATTTGTATATTGAAGGAGATCATCATTCCACATAGGATCAATTGCGGGGCATTCATTGTATGCTTTATTAGCATCATAACTGATATTTATTCTTTTTACAGTTGAAGAAAGCTTTTGTTCTATAGCACGGTTTACATGCCATTTACATAGTTGCACCCTTACATCTTTCCAAATAGCTTGCGCACTAGAGATCTGCGAAAAATCCTTATCGGAAAGTAATATTTTTATATTATTAATATTCATATTTGAGATAGTCTTAAACCATTTTGTTAAAAGCATACGTATATCACGATTTTTGCCACTTGAAACATATAGGTAACTTATTGGGAATCCTGTACCATCAATAACTGCTAGAATTGAGTAAAGTTCATGCTTAAGTTTGGTTGTATTATAGGTAGCATCGACAACTAAAATTTCAAAAGCTATTTTAGGCAAATCAGTAATAAATGGTGTTACGAATGCAAATGCTTCTATCGGATTATCTACTTCTAAAATAATTTTGTAATTTTTTTCATTTAATAACAGTTTTGCTGACTGAAGTTGATGATTTGCTCTTTTATATTTTGTAACAGCATGATATGCCCACCAATAATATGCTTGATCAATAGTGAAGAATTCATAGCCATTTATCTTTTCAAGAACGATTTGTTTATACAACTCAGGTGCTGAATATGCTAAATTCTCCTTAATGTAGGTTTTAATTTCATCAGCAACGCCTATGTGTTGTGGTCGTGGATGTAAATATGTATGATCTAATTTTACTGATGCTAATTTATTTTGTAAATCGATCCCAACAAGAATAGAACCTCTGCAGTCATAACGATCTAATCGTGACTCTGTG